TGTTCACTGCGTCTAGGTTCCCGGACATTGCACTGAGTCCATGCGTGCTCCCGAGTGGTACCATGTGTTTTAGTTTGTGCTTTTTTCGATTGGTTGGTTTGGGGGATGGGGGGGGGGGGTTAACAAATACATGTTATGTAGCAGAATAACCAAGTGGGGAAAACTATATACAAAATTCCATCTCGGCAAGTGCCTTGCATCTTAGTCGGTAACAACACGTCTCCTATGAGCCTGAGGGGGGATTTGGCAGGTAGAAGAATGGTCGACCCTCTATAGTCGGGGAAATTTGTTTTTGCCCTGGGTCTCTATGTCGCCTTTCCTTTTTTTTCCTCTCTCTTTTTTTCTACTCTCTCCAGTGTGGGGCAGTGTGTTTACCTGTCTCAGTTTGTATAATGGGGTAAAGGCCTTATGGTCTCCAGTGTAGGTTGTGCCTCATGTGAACCAGTAGGTTTTGCGCGTGTCTTGATGCTCTCATAATTTTTTCTTTGGTTGTGTAGTAGTGCAATTTGGCAATTGTGTCTCTGGGCGTTGATGCTGGCACTGATCTCGGTTTCAGTAGCCGGTGAATGCGGTCTATGAGAAAGTCTGTGTGAGGTCTGGGACCAGGTGCTGGAAGAGGCAGGCGGCATAGACCTGGAGGTCTTGGGGTAGAACTTCCTCTGGGATGCCGTGGAGGTGGATTTTGCTGCGTCTGTCTCTGTCCTCGTGGTCAGCGACTTTTTCTGTCAGGCAGCCTAGTTGTTCTTGCATTTCTGTATAGGCATCCGCTAGAGTGTTATGAGCGGATATAATTTCTTCTGTTTTTTCTTCAAGGTGTGATGTTCTTTCGCCGAGTGCCTGTATGTCAGTCCTGATGTCCCTCGCCATTTTGTTGAGGTCAGCTTGCAGGGAGGTCTGCATGGCTTTTAGCATTTTATGGACCGATAGGTCTGTAGCCGGGCCATCGTTGGTTCAGAGACTGAGGTGATGTCGCTGGTGTCTGAATAGGCTGCTGGTGATCGTGGCGTTTCGGCGCCATCTTGGGCCTGTGAGCGCAGTGAAGAGAGCGCTTGGATTTGTAGCAGGGTCTGTTTTTGTTTCATTTTTTTGGCAGACTTTGATACCATGCTTGCTGCAGAATTTGTTGGTGATTTGGGGCAAGAAAAAAAAAATATTCTAGTTGCTGTGGAGGGTCAGGTCACGGAGGAGCTAACAGCTCATGCGACCGTCAGGCCATGCCCCTACATTCTCATTTTTATTCTTGCCATATAACACTGTGTTATATTAATCCATGGATGGTTCAGTGATCTCAGTTAATGTACTGTAACACACTGGCGTGCCCCAAGCACCTCATATTGTGGAAACAAACACATTGACTTTAGGGCTTTTTTGATTTTGATTGACTGAAAGCAGTCTTAAGGTATTAGTTTTATACCCTAAATGTGAGTATTTACATTGTGATTCTCAAAACAATGGCAATTAATTGCCAGTCTATCTAGAAGTTTGCAAATGCTGCATACCTCTCTAGAAAGGTTGCACATGTATTTGATGCTTATAAACCATTGATGATCATAGAGAAAGTATGTGCCTTGGAAACGGTTTATTGAAATGTATCTTGGTCCATAAAAGATATGAAACCACTTTAATAGATAATTCAATTCACCATACATATTTGAAATCTAAGGCTCAACTGACCTTTTGATAAATAGTTCCATGATAATGTGATCACCAAAAGAAAACATGGAACATGTTTTTGATTTCCAAAAATTACCAAACATAACGTGTCCTTGTTTTTCAGAAGACAATTTTGTTCAATTCATGCTCGAGGGACTGATGATAACTCTATCCTATAACTAGAGGGAATTTTTCACAATTCTTGGATGGTACATACAAGATATTTCTAGGCTATAACCCTTTAAACACCATATGTTACAGTTTGCTGTTATCACAGCCTATTCCCCAAAGACCTTATGCCAGCTTGCATTTTCTTGCCTCTAATTTTGGCAGAAGCACGTTGCATTTTAGTTGGTAATATAGTGAGTCATTCCATATTGGAAACGGAGCCAAAAAGAACAGATTTGTATTACTGGGTTACCCTTATTGGTCCTTAAGGTGTTTAAGGAAAACCTGTTGAAGGATAGTTCTTATTAAAAAATCTCATATGTTACAGTGTTTCCCTGCCTATGTCAATTATTGGTTTCTCATGTAAAATCTTATTAAAGTATATTTTCTTAGCTAACGGTCTCACTGTGACAGCTGCTACATGTACAGAATATCTTGAGAGGATATGAGAAGCATAGTGTGTCTCTATATTTTAAAACCCACCACAGGAAGAATCCTAAGAACATGAAATTTGTAGGAATAAAAAAAGAGAGATTGTCTTGTAGAAATCCACAGGCACTTTATGAAAATTATGTTTTATCCCTTCTATTTTTACATTTCCACTTAATTCAACACATATTTCCATTTAGTCTAATTTTTTTTTTAAAGGTTAATTGTATAATTTTATATAGATATTCATTTGGTATAGCAGTACATAGCTTATAGCCCGGTGAATACTATATAAAAAATTTTAGATCTAATTTTCCCTTAGAGAATTAACTATTTTTATTCTTTATATTGGATGTGTATTTAGAAAATAAGAAAAGTTATAATTGTCACGGGTGGCGGTATGGAAACCGGGACCCCTGAGTGCCTGATGAGAAGTTGTGAGTCTTCAGCATGGAAGTGGATTATGAGGGCCTGGTGCAGGGTAACCACAAGAATGTATCCAGTACAGAAAAAAGGCAAGGTTAGGAGAGTCACCAAATATGAAAACAAGACAGAACTAGTAGAACCCAGAACCAGAGAAGGATAGGAAGCTAAACCCAGAACATGTACACAATACATAAGGGAACCATTAACATAACATGGGCAGGACAGGACTGTACATGGACTGGGAATACAAACTAAAACAAGACAAGATATTATAGGCAAAACAAGAGGAGAAATAACTAAGTACTATATATGAAAATAATGGGGATTTAGTTACATTATATGATCATACATTGCATATGCCTGCCAACAACGCCAATGTACCCCATATCTGGCAGGTCCTACACTGCCTAATGTATGCTAAAACAACCAAAGAAGACATATATAGCACTTACCTGCAAGAAAGGGCAGAAGTCATGAGCAGCTGCCTGCCGGCTCCAACTGAAACAAAAAGAATCATGGAAAAGGAACAGGTGTGGCAACATAAAACAAACATTTAAAGGAAACCTGGAGACTGGGAATTCCCGGGACGGAATAAAGGAATGAACCCAGAAAAACCCAGCATAAAGAAAACCAGACATAGAATAGAAAACCAGACATAGAATAGAAAACCAGAAAAAACAAGAAAAATTAAACAAGAATTTTAAAAAGAGTACTGGATACCAGAAGCCAAGGCCAGCCATCTCTGCAGAACATGACATGATGTGACAATAATAAATTATACATTTTAGCTTAATAAACGAAAACAAAATAGCATAAATAGAACTGAGAGTATTTTTTTTAGATCTCTTTTACCCTTACAGCATTCATATTTTGAACAATAGTTATATAATTTACACTTTGCACATTTTATAAGTTAAGACATATATAAAGCAAAATTTTTTTACAAAGAATGTTATTAATTTGCACTTTTATTTATCTTTTCCACCTTTATGACACAACTATGATATCAATGTTTTATAGAGAAAATGCATATGATGTAATTTTGCTTTATAAGGGGCATGCCGTCCCCCCAGAATAAACATTCCTCAAGTTTCTGGTGTGAATTACTTCAGGAGCGTGCACGCATTACTTCTCTAATTTGGCCGGGGGCAGATACGCAAGATAATTAATTGATTGATTCCACATCACTACACCATTAAAGATTATATTAAAATATTTAAATGTTTTGATGACAGTTATCCTTTAAGTACTGACTAATAAACCAAAGCCACGTTGTTATAATAGTTGCATTAGTGTAATCTATTTTGTAATCTCATTATGTAAAAATGAAAAAAAATATCATATGTCAAGAACTATGACAGTGTTGAAAGTAAAATGAGTTAACCTTCACATTAGCACAGTATATGGTTGTATATAATATACATTCAAGTGTTGCTGTTAGCAAGTATTCAGTAGCTGGAAGTACCTGAACAAAACTCTATATTCAAGTCTTAATGCTATAAATAGTGATAGTTACAAAACATTTCACACAATATAAACTTTGTTATACTGCGAACAGAGTCAGTCACTTGTGTTTATTATCCTGAGATTCCGTAGATTTGGTATAACTAATGAACTAGAAAACATGAACGTTATATGAAAACGCTTTGTTCTTTTTTATTTTGTAAAAGAATATGTTGTGGTTGTTGGTTCTGTCACTGGGTTTAGTGCATTCGGCCATTGTTAGATTGTCCGATATGATTTTAAGTATTTAATTATAAGTGCTCTACTGACTCAATGTGTGTCATTATATGTTGGAATTCTTCAAACAACCAAGAAAATGCTGACTGTGAGGGTGCTCATGTAATAAAAAAGAAATGGTACAGTGCATGAACTTTTTAAGAACGCTGACCAGAGGACCTTCATCTTTCAATTACAAAAGTTTTATGGCCTACAAAAAAGGGCCTTATGGGAGTTAGTGGAAGAGGGTATGTAAATTGTACTTAACATTATTAATGATCTCATTCTCTGAATGTCTGTCTGCCTGCCTGTCAAATGTAATTAAAGAACCTTTATATCAAAGCCCCTAAGAGAGAAATAGGACAATAATCCACTGAAATATTGAGGGACCATAGCAGCAAAGTCATAATAAAAAACCACAGGAGCTAATCCACAGAAATATGCAGTACCTTACAACTATTTACTCCTTTGAATATTTTCACATTATACAGTATTAAAAACTGAAACCATGAAGGCGGAGCCTGACCACGGAGGCGAATGGCCGCACAAGCCTGTAGCTCCGAGCTCGCAACGGTAAAAACGAATAAAATCTGGAACTCTTTCAGGCGGCTGCTCAGACTTCTCGGACGAGTTATCTGGTGACGCTGAAGAAGACTACTTACCCATGCCCGCTCCGGCTCATCTGCCAGCAGCAAAATACAGCAAACCAGGGGCAGACTCCTCACCAGTGACGACATCAGTCGTAAAAGCACTGTTAGCAGAACTGCAAAAGAATATTTTAGCAGACATCACAGCAATACGTAGTGACCTGCAGGGGCTGACAGGCCATATTGGGGCACTAGAGAGAACTTCCCAAACAAGCACCCAGCATATTGCCATGCTCCACCAAGCAGTAAGTGACCTGCAGCAGCAGAACCTGCTACATGAACGCCGCTTTGCGGCTCTGGAAGACACATGGAGAAGAAACAACCTCAAAATCAGAGGGGTTTTGGAAGACATCTGTGAAACGGAACTGCCACATTTCTTGAGACGCATACTGTCAACCTTACTGCCATCGAGGCAGATGAAAGCTACCACCCTGGACCGACTCTCTCGGATCCCCAAATTAAGCAAAGCACCAACTACAGCCCCCAGGGACCTAATAGTTACCTTTCACAGTGGGAACCACAAAGCAGCGGTTCTCACAGAGTTATGGGGCAAATTCCCCCTCCAATTTTAAAATATGGTGATATCGTTCTATGCCGACTTATCGAGTGGCACTTTAGCCTGGTGACGATCGCTTCAACCGCTCACCTCCTTGCTCCAAAAACAAGGGGGTTCACTACCTCTGGCGCCAACCCTGCATGCTTATGGTCCAGCAAGGGAGCGAAATGCATTATAGTCAGGACCTCCAGAGCTCAGCGGCACTACTGCGGGATATGGGCCTATCCCTGGACTCGCTGATACAACATGGGCCACACAATACAACCCTTTCAACCCACCACCTTCATCCCACAAGGGAGAACACCTGACTCCTACGCGGCTGTCACCACCTGAAGGGAGAATCAAATGGCACATGGGGCGATACCTACCATTTAATGTTTACTTATTAATGTTTTACTATTGTTTTTTCATTGTTGTGGTAACCTCACTCCATTTTCTACCTCCATAACGCCCTACCTAGCCCGGTAAGGAACACTCGATTTGCACTTCACCACCCACCTTCAGGCATACACAAGAGAGCTATGATAATGGGCAATAAACCACCTCTTGAGCACCACTCCCCCCCCAGGCCCCGAGCATTAGGCACAGCATCCCGAGCAAGCCTTAATATGTGTACACATTTATCTCCACGCAGCACTACGCTAGATACAGTCCTGTGCCTCCCCACTGATGGCCCCATCCTGTGACACCGAATTCTGCCACAGCAGCGGACCCGATGTAGCCCCCTTTAGCAACCAAATCCCCAGGTATCGCAATATTGACACCACTGCGGACCCCACACTTGCCAAATATTCTGAAGACCACGACATTAACATCCTTAACAATTGCTGGTGGCACAGATTGCAGCCCTGCTATAGCAGCCGAGCAGGAAGGCGTCCTCGTCTGACCAAGGCTGCGGCCTGGCCTACCTAATCATAGGTTTACACATGTCCACTTAGGACTTGCCGTCCCACCACCTTCGCACGCAAATATTTCTTAGGGCCAACCCGGATACCACAAAGCCCCAAAACTACTGTTTTATTATGATTTTGACACGTTGTCTTTTCACCTTTCTGTTCCTCTCGCCACACTACTGACATAGAAGCCAGCACACAGCAGAATGTACTATCTGACATAGTAACGGCAACCCTCGCATACAAGCACATCATGACTATTAAACACCCCACTCACCTTTCCTAGTCATAATCTGTAAAGCTGTCATTTAGAACCAATGTTCAGCCAGTTTAACATGCTTTGAGCCTGCTACGTTTGCTCAGTCTGTTTTCATCTTACTATTTTATTACCAAGAATGACAGTATAACCAATATGCTTAACCTGCATTGTTTGTATATACTTAGTGCCAGCTAGTAGACATAACAAGGTTCTCAGTGGTACGATCCCCCTCAAGTGAGAATAGTTAATATATAGTGGAAAGGTTAAGCCGAACAATACTGACCCATATATCGAACCTTGCTTCACTGGTGTTCGCGGGTGTAACCTGTGCCACAGTAGATAGCCCTAGCTTTGCCTTACCAATACAGATAATGTTAATCAATCTACAAGTAGCTTTCCTCTCATGCATAACCTGCAGTTTAAACCATCTCGACAAAGAGATAAGTCTATAATACTGTGTGTTTAACTAACCTTGTTCATTACTCTCATAAATAACAAGAATGGATGCAACTCTCTGTTATGCGATACTAATTCATAAAAATGTGCAATGAATTCTACTGCCTAACCAATGTAAACCTACGTCTAAAGCTCTGCATGCCCTAGCTTTTATGGCAGTGCATGCTGTTTGTAACTTTCCCTGCTCAACTAAAATAAAGAAAGAAAAAAACTGAAACCATATTAATAATTTTGTGATTTTTATGCAACGTACCTGACACTTTGAATGTGTTATTTTTTGTAAAAAAAAATTTTTAACAAAAGTGGGTTAAACAATATTTCCACCATTGTTTGTTCAATAATGTGGTTTACTAGTCATCGTAATTATCTGCTGGATGCTTCCTAAGGCTGTTCCTTTTCCAAGATCCAATTTATTTTCTTGCATGCACTTAGATAAGGTGGACTCATGGACTCATGGGCAGTTTTAAGATAGGACCTGATTAAAGGAACACACCAAGGTCCATGACATCTACAGTGTGCTGTAGTGGTTGTGGTGCCAGGTATGTAATGGTGCTCCTCTTTGTATGAATCCAAATTATTTTATGGCCACCCAAACTTAATCAGGCTAATACTTCCTCACTAACCCAAGCAACACAGAGGAAATAGACTGCTGGGGATTAAAATGGTTTAACACTGACAGTGCCAGGGGACTCCGACTCCACAAATGTCAGTGACACGAATCAGTCACATTGCCTACAGTGTTACTTTAAATTTAGAAATTCACACATCTTCCCTGGATTCACACATCTTGTCCTCCATCTCAGCGCTCTGTCAATCAAGATTATAAATGCTGACCTTTTCTAAAATTTAAACTAGTGGAAAATATGCAGATGGGAAAAAAAATTTATTCATTCATTCTCCTTTGCATTGTCTTGGCTGTGCTTTAAGTGAACTGGATTGTGATGTCATTTTCTAAATATTTAATGTATGTTTTAAAAGAAAACAGATCACCACATAAACAAGGTTAATGGAAGAGGTCTAGGGTTGCCTAATATCAAAATGTATTATTATGTGCTTCAATTGGCTCAGATCAGATGCTTTCATTCACCCCACAGATAGACACAGATTGGTAGATCTGTAAACTCAACTCCTGGCTCTTGACCTTCCATTATTTTATTTGTGACTTGAAAAATGCCAGAGCCCTCTGCTGTGGCACACCTCTCCTGCCCTTCTTAACCCACTTTCTATTTGCAACATGCTTAGATATAAATGCAAAATATCTAAGTGTGATTCTCCCCACTCACCTTTTGCTAGGAAGATTTCCACCCAGGTGTGAAGCCCCAACCGTTTAATAATTTAGAAGATGTTGGTTTTGATAGGGCTCAGTTGCCCACCACTTATTTTTTTTTATTTAGGTATTTACAAATGTCCATATTCACATCCAGCAAACAGAGCTTACATATTTAAAATTTTTAAACAATGTGTTTGTAAACTAAATTTGAGCATTCAAGCTACGGCTGCATTGAGATTCGGCTGAATTTGGACCAATTCACTGTTTGGTTGAAATCCGATCTCTGAAGCTCCATGCAGACGTATAACCAAGCATATTACTAAGTTATGTCTGAAAATGCTTGGATGCTTTAGAATTTGGGGCCAAAAATTGAGGATGGAATAGAAAGGATATACAGTTTGTTTGTTTTTTTGTAAAGCAGGACAAATAAGCAGTTTAGTTTGCCATGATAGACCAGAGGTCTGCCCATTGATGTGGCTGCATCTCCTATCCAATAAAGATGTGAAAAAAGATGATTGATGGTTAGTGGACAGTCACCAAATGTTGATTTTATTCACAGATCATGTGAGAAGTTACAAAAATAGGAAACAAGGAGGAACAATAAAAAGTCTATACTTCGAAGCAGAACTGTTTCAGACATTTTGACTGCAGTTATTGAGTGAGTGAGACAGACCAACAGACAAGGATGGCCTGATTTTACCTTTGCTGTGCCGGTGTGTGACTGGAAGTCATTGATCCTCTTAGGTTACTACTCTGCATAGCCCCTGCCAGCACAATGCCCCTTACACCAATTGTGTTTTGGAGATATATATATATATCATGTTTAATACATGTTTAATTGATCCTAATGTGATGCTGGTGGTCAGGATTCTGCTGTGCCTAGCCCCTGCAAGTGGCACTGTGCCACTTACAAAAGCTATTTGGAGATATATAGATATATTCTGTTTAAATATAGTTTAATTAATCCTAGTGTGAGACTGGTGGTTAGGTTACTGCCGTGCCTAACCCCAGCCAGTTGCAAGAACCTTGATGTGGAGATAGGTATATCCTATTTATTAATGATTTAATTGATCATAGTGTGAGACTGATGGATAGATTACTGCTGTGTCACTCCATTGCCAGTGCCACTTACACCAAGTTTGATTCACAGATATTGTGCATAGGTTTTTTTTACTGCTGTTCCTAGGGCCTGCCAGTGGCACAATGCCACTTGCAACAATTTTGATTTGGAGATCACATGTCCTGTTTAATAATAGATTGATTGATTCTAGTGTCAGACTGGTGGTTAGGTTACTGCTGTGCCAGTGACACTTACACCGAGTTTAATTAATTCATTTTGTTTACTAAATCTTGCTATTTGTGAAAAAAAAAATCATTTTATTTAAGGGTGTTATAACAGTGGTTAGGTGTCAGCTATGCCAGTGACACTTACACAAAGTTTGATTCACTGATTTATAGTTTGACAGTCTTTTTTGTTGTTGTTAGTGTAAAGAAAATTATTTTTCAGAGGAAGCCCTGAGGGGTGAAATGCGTAAGAGTGTATTCGAACCCTTTTTACTCTGCATATATTTGTTTTAATATTGGTATAAATATATATATTTACCCTTATGTTTTTCAATATATGGAATAAAATGTTTTATTTTTTTTCCTGGCCATATCCATGGCAGCACAACAATGGGTAGCTCCTCCCTATCCCTAATTAAAAAAGGAACCTAATTAAAATAAAAGGTATAAGTAACCCCTCCTACCTCTTCCACCCTCAGTCTTTCTGTTCCTGTCCTATCCCTATAGAACCAACTTAGTCATTTCAGGACTAAAAACTTTTTCTTTTATGGCTTACCTGAGGATAGTCTTTTACTCTGGCCCCTTGGGAGTTCAGTCTCTCTCCCTTGGGCAGTCTCCAGTACACGCCCTTGCACAAAGGTGACCCCCTGGAGAAACCCCTTTAGTGACCGGGAGTTTTAACTTGCTGTGACCCGATGGGGTTAGCAGGCTGGACGTGCACGAACAGAGCATATGGATTGCAAGGATTAACCCCTTAAGGACTGAGCCAAATGTACACGTTGTGAACAAAACAAAACGTAAACAAAACCTGGCATTTGCTCTACATGTCTGTCCAACCGTAGTTCACCTCTTTC